GTCTCACCCCCATACCACCCCAACAGCACCCCGCTTACAGCGTTTAACTGCAACGCTTTCTTTCTCGTATAAAGTACATGACATATAAATATATATATATATATATATATATATATATATATATATATATATATATATATATATATATATATATATATATATATAGTTACTTTAACCGAAAACATAAACTCCCAGCTCCAAGGCTATTGAAAATTTATGTCATGCCCTCCCTTTGCAAAGCTTAAACAGATGCTTGGTGTACTTAATCCTTAATCCAGCACTGCCTTTATATTAACATCTGCGCCTGGTAATGTTTATTTATTTAGCGAAAATGATGCTTTCTATTAACCGAATACACGCTCTGGTGTTCCACAGTTGTGCTCACTGGATGTTGCAATAAAGAGGCATAACTCCTTATTTCTAGTTTTTTTTTTTTTTTTTTTTTATTAAACGATTAGAAAATCGCACTGAACATCTAGAGATGTCGATGTGTACAATAAAACCTCGTATTTTATAGAGGGAAAAAAACGATCAAATATAAAAATTTAAATATAAAAAAACAGAGAAGTAAACTTTTAAAAGACATAACACTCTTATGAACCGCATACTGTAAGGAAAAATTGAAGATAAGCAAGCAAGAGACAGCGATACAAAAAAGAGGAAGGGGGGGGGGGGGGAATAACAATATTAGATGAACGAATCGACTATTGGAAAAGTGACCATCTAGGACGAAAGACAGAACGTTTGGAGATCTAGTGCAGCCAGCCTTGAGTGTGGAGACGACACTTAACCGACTGATTGATCGAATGATGATCTCAACAGTACATTAAATGAATTCAACAAACATATCCAAGCCGTAGAGGACCTGCATTCACGACCTTCAGATCTGCAGGCGAGCGTCTTCCGGCTACACCACAACGGCTCCCGACTGTGACGTATACGAAGCCTTAATTCTTTCCTAGTGGATTCAGCATTACATGCCCAAGGGGTAGTAAAGAAAGACATACAATTGGCGCGTCATTAGTTAATTATGCTTCTAAGTAGGGACGTATGATGCGTTCCTTGGGAACTCAAAGAGTTAACTTATTCGGTGTGAGCATCTACCTATGTGTTTGTTGGTTTAACTGACCTGGTGTAATTTTCCAAAAAATTTATGCTTGTTAGTTTCACAAAAAACCTTAAATGTGTTTAGAAATTTAAAAATAAGATCGTGCCATCGACTTGTAACTAGTCAATGTTGTTCAAAGGTTGTGACTTTTGTGACAGACTGTTCCCAACCACGGCAGACACAGCAAGTAGTGACCCCAGAGCCGTTTTAAAACTTCCTACTTAAACATTTGCTTGGCGGAGAGGCATTCATCACCTTACTGGACCTTTATTAACCGTTGAATATGTATAGGTTTCACCCCTTCACTGATTAAGAGAAAATAAAAACGGATAACAGAAGGGTGCTCCTGTTTTGTGTATATCAAAAGTGGGGCGGCCATCTTTAAACTGTCAGTATGACGTTACCGTGTTCGTCTGTACCGTGATCTCACGGGCCTTAACACTCTTTAAATCCTTAGCAACAATAATGACAGGTCACATGACAATGACATGGTTATTGACGCCTTTAAGGTTTTCATTTGAACCCCTTCGCAACTCTTCGAGCTATTACAATAACCCATATGTTACAGCTGTAACTTTAACCCATCATGTCCTGAAGGGCTTTTGTTCTAACTCTTCAGATCCAAATATTTCTTAAGGTAATTATGGTAATCTTAGTTTCAACTTCATAGCAAACGGGTCACACCATAGTTGCTCTGTTCCTATGCCAACGAAAAAAAAAAAAAAACACACACACACAGAATGTACATCACTGTCTTTTGGAGAAAGATTGGCACAGACTGCAGTCTCAGCATATCCACTAGCACAAACACATGCATTAAAAGCATGGGACAGCTATAAGAAGTGCTGACACAAACAGCCTTACGTTAGAAATGCAGTTCATCATCGACGGAAGCAGCAATTACAAATAGATCAGCAGTTACACACGAGATCACTTGTAATCACATAAGGCACCACCAATACTCTGGTAACAGACCACGCGACATTTTCTGAACCTACAGTACACAACACTACGTTGGTCACAGTAGAAAACATTCCAAATGAAATCCGCAGCTCACAGTATCGCGGCATGCACACAGCTCAGTAGATGGGCAACGAAACTATATTCGTTCAGTCTACAAGTGCAACGGCCCCCGTCTGTCAGAAGCAAACAAGTTTTCTACGACTAAAAACAGTGACCTTGCCTAGCATCTATTTTGACCGGACATCTAAGAACAGAGCAATTTAAGATAATAGATTACTGGTACAGTTAAGATACACTGAATGAAATTATTAATAATAATAATGTAAATGCATTCTTCAAAACATATTTTATTGACTAAAATTGTATATTTCCTAACACTACTTTTCTTTCTTTCTTTCTTTCTTTCTTTCTTTCTTTCTTTCTTTCTTTCTTTCTTTCTTTCTTTCTTTCTTTCTTTCTTTCTTTCTTTCTTTCTTTCTTTCTTTCTTTCTTTCTTTCTTTCTTTCTTTCTTTCTTTCTTTCTTTCTTTCTTTCTTTCTTTCTTTCTTTCTTTCTTTCTTTCTTTCTTTCTTTCTTTCTTTCTTTCTTTCTTTCTTTCTTTCTTTCTTTCTTTCTTTCTTTCTTTCTTTCTTTCTTTCTTTCTTTCTTTCTTTCTTTCTTTCTTTCTTTCTTTCTTTCTTTCTTTCTTTCTTTCTTTCTTTCTTTCTTGTTCAGTATGTCTGCTCCGCATATGTTGTTCCAGGCGTGGTTAAAAACCTACCAATGACAGGTTTTGTTATATCTGTCTGGTTAAACACAATGACTAACAAGTTTCCCAATATCAACAACGTACCACCTTCTGTATTTTTACTGGCCGAGGAAAACAACACAACGCCTTCTATATTTTAATTTGAGGAAAACAACACAATACCTTCTATATTTTAAGTCTCTTAGAAATTATGTTGCATAGTATTTACTAAGGCTGTACCGAATAGCGATTTTCACTATTCGACAGAATACGAATAACAGGACCAACTATTCGGCCGAATACGAATAGTGTATCATCATCATCATCAGGTGCCTTGCTGACTGGTGTGGACGATTATGCCTCGCCACAATCTGCGTTTTCCTGCAGCATGTATTAGTTCGTGTGCTGACACACCTCAATGCCATGCATCAAGACTGTCAAGAATCTTCTCTCGTTGTCTTCCTCTATCCCTCCTTCCACAGATCTTTTCAGTGGTCACCACATGTTTTCTCTTTTCTCATATCTTGGCCGAAAAATGATAACTGTTTTCTTCTGATGTCTGTGATTAGTTGTCTTCGTGGTCCCACCTCTTTCATAACCTCTTGCTTTCTTTTTGCTGTCCAATGTATTTTAAGCATTATTCTGCAAATCCACATCTCTGAGGCCTCAATAAATTGTTTGGCCTGCCTACCGATTGTTCAGGACACACAACCGCATTGCCTTTAAATATAAGTGCTTACTTGATGAGGCTAACAGTTACTATTGTACAGACCACATTTTCCACTTTAAAATTTCAGCCAAAATGTAATCATGACCTTACTTATCCGCTGTACCTTCACGAATACAGATGGAGGATCGGTCGCTCCTCGAGATAAATACAAAGACAATTTTCAGCACGCTGCGGTTGGCATTTTATGCAGTATGATATAATCTGAGTGTGAAACAAGGGGGAAAAACCTCTTTTCGACAGTGGCGAGGAAAGACAATTAAATTTTAACTTTTAAGTATCTTTATGCTTTCTTTAATAATGTTATAATTCATAGACGACTTTTCTCGATTTTCGCCGCTGCACCCCTGGCATACGCACCCAGTTTGAGAACCTCTGCTGTAATGCCTCGGTCGAGTCAGCAGGCAAAGACCTTGCCAATTGCTGTACCACGCAACCTGGTCGCAGTTTCCCCTGCTACGACAGACTTAGGCAACAACAGCTATTGTGTTAATGAGAGAGTTATTTCAGTCCATCACAGTGTATGCAGAAACGGGTGTAAGGTAACCACTATTCGTATTCGGCCCGACCGCAAGTATTCGGCCGAATACCGAATAAATATTAGGTCCACTATTCGGCCCCGAAGCGAATACGAAGCTAATATTCGGTACAGCCCTAGTATTTACATATACTTAATGTGAGGTATATACCACAACAATATGGTGACGAGAAATATCTAGCTTCCACTTTTAAACTACCATCTTTCCTTGTACAAATGCTATAACATTTACGACGAATCAATGTCAGCCGGTAAACTACTGCTTCTCCAAAAGCCATTAAAAATTTCATTCTTAACAAAGAGTTGTAATGGGAAAAAAAATATTAACAACACTCCTTTTTGTCAATGAGAAGTACGTTTTTTGAATAATTACTACTGTACAAAAGTAACAAAGATAAACATGATTGGAATAATTTACTAATTTGCCTTTCTCTGCTTTCATTTTTTAACTACAAAAAATACAATGCACTTTAATTGACTGAATTTTATTCAGCAATTGGCAATAATATACTGTTTTTAAACACATCTAAAAAAATGCACAGTTATCCGATGGCACTTTCCTATTAAAAAAAAAACAAACGTATAGTTATCCGATTGCGCGATTTCATTAGTTTAGGGGAAAGCCAGTACGACTAAAAGTCAGACTCAAAAGTTCTGTCACCTGACTGGTTGAACCGCATGGTATTCTTGTATGCAATTTGAATAATTCCACAGATTAAATTACAAATATTTTGAATACCAAAATTATGATCTGTTTGGCAGCTCTGCGTTTTTTTTTTTTTTTTTTTAAATTAGTAGTAAAGCGCCATTAGACAACTATGCGTTTTTTTTTAAACAGTATATTTTGGCTCCCATTTGTATCGTAAAAGGGTTCGTCATGTCAATGCTGACAAATCTGGCATAATTGGCTCTGCAGAAATAGTGTCATCCTTGAGTTTCATGTCCCTGAAGGATTTCCTTTGGCATCCGTTTTAAGGTTTCTGCTGCATCTCTCCCCGGCAAATCCTTCAGGACATATACAACGGTAGACAGCCTCGCTTTCTGGCAGCGAAAGGACTTCCCTGATGTTGGTTTTGCTCTCAGATCTTCTCAGACGTATACAGGTGCCGCCATTTAGGCAGGGTTTAGGGCAGGTGTACTGGCAGAAGTTGCCGGTGACTTTACTTTTTTCGCACTGGCACCTGTGGAATGTAGATTAACACAGACGGTGAATGATAAATAAAGGCAGATTACGTTACAGGAATGTTAATAGTGGATTACGTATAAATTAACGGCAATTCCTTGTTTGACACACACGTATATATACACACACACATACACACAATTAGATCCATTGAGCAGTATGTCACTTCACCCATCCACACACGCACACACACACACACAGACATACACGTACGCCGCTAACTTAAGGTTTACCATACCACCCTGAGATTTAAAACAAAATTCTCCACGTCGACCACTGACCAATGACACAGATCCCAGAACTCCCTTCAACCTCCAAAGAAGTCATACCTATAGCTCCCGGTGTGGGTTCCGGGACCCCATTGTCAGGAAAACAAGCATAGACCCACTGCCTCCCCAACAAGCATGTCGTAAGGGTCGACTAACTCCAGGTGTCCTTCAAAGTTGGAGTGCATCTGCCGTAAGGGAAAGAAACCTACAGTCTGTTTACAGGTGAGTCAGGTGTGTAAAACGGATGTGCACGTAACACTCAGATTCTAGAGCAAGACTAAAGTTCGGAGGTGGACGAATATCCGGATGTTTCCGTTGCAGTTTACAGCCAATGAATGCAAAGAAGAAGAAGAAAAAGAAGAAGAAGAAGAAGAAGAAGAAGAAGAAGAAGAAGAAGAAGAAGAAGAAGAAGAAGAAGAAGAAGAAGAAGAAGAAGAAGAAGAAGAAGAAGAAGAAGAAGAAGAAGAAGAAGAAGAAGAAGAAGAAGAAGAAGAAGAAGAAGAAGAAGAAGAAGAAGAAGAAGAAGAAGAAGAAGAAGAAGAAGAAGAAGAAGAAGAAGAAGAAGAAGAAGAAGAAGAAGAAGAAGAAGAAGAAGATAATTAGTGCATCCTAAGCGCTTCACAAGCCAGCGGTAACCTCTGTCCTGTTCGATCGAGGACAAAGGTTAGATACAAGTCCATTTCTTGAAGACACTAACTAACCGGCCCAGTTCTAAAGTGAAGTGAACCTAAATTTAACAACCAGAGACAAAAGCTAGAAGCGCTGACATCCGGAAACAATCTGGGACGGACCTAAGTCAATAGACCACAAACCAGATTGTTCGAACATGAATCAGGACACCACAAGACAGTACACAACAGAGAGCCCTGTCACTTAGATACAACGGAGACAGATCTAGAAGCCACCCACACAAGCAATGGATACATGGAAATACCTGAGGCCTTTAATACCAGCATCTACGTAGCACATACCGAGGCTCGCACCTGATGTTTTGTCAATATCTGGTTAGCTCGACGTTAGTCTCCCCAGACCCTGCCCATATACACACTAGCTCACTTCTGATTAGTAGTTCCTGAGCCCCGTGGCCTTCACACACGGTTACGGGGGTGTTCCGCAATGCCAATGATATCGCGTACTGTATATTTCAGCATGCCATCGCTTTTAACACTCCAATAATACGGAGAACCCGGGTCTCACACAACCCGCTAGAGAGTGCTGCAACCCATGTCACAAGCATTCTCTTTCTCGGAATGAAAACGTAAATGCAAGACATCGCAGAAACCAAACAACAGAACGGGATACACCCGTTACTTTCAGGAAAGTCGACCAGCGCAAGAAACATGTGAATGAAAAGTGACCTACTCTTTTTGGGGAGACTAATGTCAAACTAAATCAAAACATGACACTGAAAAGCAGAAAGGGAAGACATACCAACTCCAGTTATTACTGGCTATTGTATTGCCATTTCTGTTTTAAATGCGAACGCTTTAAGGTGACACATAACCGTATTTACATGTGTAATAGTGCTAAATATAGGAATACAATAAGGGGTCTGATTGGTTAGTGGAATTAGGGAAGTTTCCAGGTTGCAAGGCACGAGATTAGCGTGAGACAGGAAGAACACAAGATAAATTGAATTTGCTTGGGCAACACAGACAACGGGAGTAATAATAACAGGCCATTCTGTGACCGGACCCGAGAGTGAAAGAAAGGGAGACTGGATGCAGAGTGATAGGAATGAACGTGGATCTGGATGAAACCCGAATGAACGTTACCTCTAAACGGCAAGGAATGAAGCTGTGTTGAATTACAGTAGAGGGACAACAGCTGTGTTCTGTTCGATGTGCCAGTCGTGTACATGTCAATGTTCATCGTCAGAGGCATGGCTGTTGACGTAGAGTGCAAGCAAGGGGACCTTTCCCGAATGGCGTAAGTGTTCGGCTTTAATGTTGATTCTTGCTGCTTGTGTTGTATTGATAATAAACCCCTGAACTAGTGTAAACCTTCGTCGACTGTCATTTGGAGACGTTTGATAGCGGATCTGAAGAGAAATTTGACTCGTCTGTACTGCGATCTTGATCCCTAGACAACGGAGGTAGTTTCGAATCTGTATGAGAGAGACTGAATACAGAGGAGATACATTACACCATGGTAACTGAAACCGCGAGAATCCTGCTTTATTGGTGACGACGCTGCATCCATAGCTCTTGCAGACTGTCGTATACAGTGCCTATCGTCTTGTGATTTGGTCATAGAACATTTTTTTTCCCGACAACATGCGAAAATATTGGATCTCTAGAGAAACATATAAAACCAAATCATAGAACAATCACACACACCGCTTTCTATATAAAATCATGACAGCGTCATAAAAGTGTCAACATTATTCATAGGAGCTGGTACCTGGGCGCGCATAGAAGGTGGTACCTTGGCGTTCATAGAAGCTGATACCTGGGCCCTCATAGAAGCTGGTACCTGGGCGCTTAGAGTACATTATTATTATTATGCTCCTAAATCAGGATTGAGTTTCCTGACGCCCCTTGTATTACCTGTATCCGCCCATATGTCCATTCACACAGCGTCCTCCATTCTGGCAAACGAAATTGCCCGTACAGCTGTTGGAGCCACGTTGAATGTTGGCTTGTACTTGCTCACTTGGATCCTAGTAATGGAAATGGTGCATACAAGTGTTAGTATACCTACCCAACATAATACACGTAAATATCTTTTTATTCATCTGAGTGTTTCCAGACTGCTAACTGCCCGCAGTAAGTTCTCCTTGTTCTTATAGACTTTGGTCTTGTTCTAGAGCTTACGCTTTGCATACACATCCTTTCAAAGATCTGGTTTATTCGTGTGCAAACTGTTGGTTTCTCTCAGGCAGATGCACTCCGACTTCGAAAGTAATACCACTAATAAGTAAACTTTTAAGACATGCTTGATGGAGAAAAAAAAAAGGGGGGGGGGTGGCAGGGTGGGGCATGTTAAAATGTTTTAGTTTCGGTGCTGCCTTGTTTCTATATTTCAGCTCATTGCAAAGTATGTGTTGTATTTAGTACTCCGTTGATAAAGACAGACACTTTAATATATAACAATAATACACATACTCTCATACATTCACACCCATACACACTCACCCAAACTCTTACATGCACACGCAAACAAAGAAGAAAAAGAAAAAGAAGAAGAAGAGAAGAAGAAGAAGAAGAAGAAGAAGAAGAAGAAGAAGAAGAAGAAGAAGAAGAAGGAAGAAGAAGAAGAAGAAGAAGAAGAAGAAGAAGAAGAAGAAGAAGAAGAAGAAGAAGAAGAAGAAGAAGAAGAAGAAGAAGAAGAAGAAGAAGAAGAAGAAGAAGAAGAAGAAGAAGAAGAAGAAGTAGAAGAAGAAGAAGAAGAAGAAGAAGAAGAAGAAGAAGAAGAAGAAGAAGAAGAAGAAGAAAAAGAAGATTATGATGATATTGATGATAATGATGAAGAATAAAACAACAAAAGCAGCAGCAGTTTACAAAAGCCCAGTTTCTGGTACCATCGGTAACTTTAACTTAATCACTGTAAACATAAACATCAAATGGTGACAGCGGTCATGTTTTCCACACAGGTCGCTATCTTTAACCGAATGCACTGCTTGAACAGCTAATATTTGTCGTTACATTTAAGACAAGCTATGGGGATTCTTCTCCTCTTGTCTTCTAACTTACTTCCTGGTGTTTCATCATCACCATTCAGCATGTCCTTTACGGAACGTCGCTCTCGTCACGGCAAGCCTGAAAATCTTTCTTGCTGCAGCAAAATCTCCAGCCTATGTGCGTTTAAAGCTAATGCATCTTTAACGTCGTTTATCGACCCTGTGGAGATCGACCTCTGCCCTAATTTCCAAAGACTATACTATCTATCACCGCTCTCTCACATAAAACAGTGTAGACACAAAAGAATTAATGAACGAGGAAACGAATGAACAAATAAGCGAACGAACAAACGAACGAAAGAACGATGGAATTTGTTTTTTAATTAGTCACTAGGGGCCGGCTTACATTCTGTCCTTGTGGCCTCACTCCTTCCATTCATGCCCGAAACAGAAAATTAGACTAAATGCAGGCCATATTTCCCTTAACAAAGGGCCGCATGTATTGACATGCCTACACTAGCTCATTCAACATCAGCGGAAAGTTACAATAGCTTCAGATGAAAACGTAAGGCGTTCCTTGGTGCCCAAAGGAGCTACAGAGAACACAGCCAACAAAGAATTATTAGTGCCCTATGCGATTATGTGCGTGTGCAACTACTGATATATTGTAACTGCTGCTTCCCTCACCGATAAACTGCATTATTAGTACTGGCCTGTTTGTGCTGGCATTTCTGACGGCTGCTGTGTGCATTAAATGCGTGTGTACGCTATTGGCTTTGCCGAGACGACGATTTTGAATAAATAATTGACATCATAGAAGTTGGGAGTCTCACATAAGTGCTCCGTCTCCATTTTTAGCAGCGAGTGAAGAGTTCCAATTCCGATGGCACTAGTAGCTGTCTGATTGTACATCCGTCTCACCTTTTCCTTGAGTGTTGAGCGTCGGCCAGATTCCCTGGTAACTCCCCGCAGCGCCATTCTCCTTAGACCGTAATGATCTATTTGTGCCTCTGCACTGTTCACTCATTTCCAAAGGGTTTTCACAACATTTAGCTTGTCATACATCAGTTCTCCACCAAGTGGTGCAGAACCGGGCGGTCTGTCTGCTTGCTCGTTTCCCAACACACCAGTATGACATGGAGAAAATATCCAAAGGACTCTAGCATTGACTTATGAAGTGATGCTTGCCACTCTTCACGGAGCACGCCTGTCTCTACCTTTCTTAACATACTATGTGAGTCAGTTACAATTATGACATGTGTGTACAGCTGATACGACAATACTAGTCACATTAAGCAGAAGAACTAACTTACCAGCACAAGTGGCAAAGAGTTTACGGAGTTGGCCGTAAATAGTTTGGCAAGATTTAAGAGAGCTCCCATGTCGTATCCGACTTCAGCACACAAGTCTCCTCGGTAACCAGTAGAGCAGAGACACATCTGTTTGTGTCCTGCAAACACGCACATTCCATGTAGACACGGCCTGAAAATATGTTTTAAGCAGTTCAACTTTATTAATAATAGTAAAAATATAATAGTTACGAGAATATTCTGCAGATGATACTGTTCTGCTTAGTAAAAATGAGATGACATGCAAAGAAAATATATGATTAATAAAGTACTTGCATTATAGTCGAATTACAAATCAGTGATCAAAACAAAAATCTATTAAATATAATAAAGACATCAGGAACATGTCAAGAAGATGTCAATCCCAAAAAAAAAAACTGTGAAAATATGGGGGTGACAGCAGCCAAGCTAATACAAGGAATTCCTGGGAAATTTGACTAATAAGCTTAACCAAATGAGGAAGCAGAAAAACGTGCACAAAACAACACAAATGACGTAACGTTTCGGCCGGACAGCCTTTGTCAAACTAGAAGAAAGAAAACTTCACAATGGTCCAAATTTGGTTAAGCTTTTTAGTCAATTTCCCAGGAATTCCTAAAAGATGTCACACTGAAGACAAAAGGAATCAATAAAACAAACCCCTCTACATATTAGGGCAGCAATTTTGATTGTCAAGGAAACATTTAGAATGAGATTATGATGCGTTTTGCTTAGGCAACAGTAGCTTTTAAAAGCCTGAACAAAGCGTATTTTCAATTCTTTCTTATGCTTTTTTAGTGCTAACATTTGCCAGTGAAAAATGTAGAATCACAAGAAATATGGAACGAAATTTAACTGCATTCGAAAACATGCCTGGAGAAATTTATCACTACTTTGCACTACTTCTTACTTGTACACAGTCGCAAGTCTGTAAGTCTCAAAGAGACTCAAGACAACACAAAATTTCACAAGCACTGTATACGAACGCCGAACCACGGCCTTCTCTATTTGTAGGCCAACTGGGTCAACGGGGATTCCCGTTCTTGTGCAAGAATAGAGTCCCTCTGTGTTAACAATTTTTATCGAGGAGATGTATACACAAATTAAACTATAGTTTCATCAATTTTCGATATATTTTATAGAACTATACGTCATTTTTAAGGTAAATATGTGTGCTATTTAAATATAACAATAAAGGTTCTTACAGACAGACAAAAATGCTTTTGCTACAGTCAACATGAACATCAATAACGTGTAGAAATAAACTGAAAGCTTTTCCAGCAAAAGTAAAGAAATATCAGTGCTACCTCTTTGATTCTGAGAGGTTATTGTTGCATCAAAGGAGCCAGGCGGAGAAGGGGGTGGGGTGGGAGGGGGGGGGGTGGTTGACATTTGTACTTTATCAAATTCAGCACATAAAAATACTGTTGTGAAACATATACAAGACTAAAGTCCAGAATAAGATAAACAACCAGAAGTTTACAGCCAGTGTTTGCGAAGCAGAAAATTCACAAAAATGAACACAGACCGTACAATTGCAAATATGCACAAGAAGTAGATGAACATTTAGAAGTTTCTGCCAGAGTTTACAGCCAGTGTTCGCGAAGCAGAAAATTCACAAAAATGAACACAGACCGTACAACTGCAAATGTGCATAAGAAGTAGATGAACAACCAGAAGTTTCTGCCAGAGTTTACAACCAGTGTTCATGAAGCAGAAAATTCACTAATATGAACACAGACCGTACAACTGCAAATGTGCATAAGAAGTAGATGAACAACCAGAAGTTTCTGCCAGTGTTCATGAAGCAGAAAATTCACAACAATGAACACAGACCGTACAACTGCAAATGTGCATAAGAAGTAGATAAACAACCAGAAGTTTCTACCAGCGTTTACAGCCAGTGTTCGCGAAGCAGAAAATTCACAAAAATGAACACAGACCGTACAACTGCAAATGTGCATAAGAAGTAGATGAACAACCAGAAGTTTCTGCCAGAGTTTACAGCCAGTGTTCGCGAAGCAGAAAATTCACAAAAATGAACACAAACCGTACAACTGCAAATGTGCATAAAAAGTAGATAAACAACCAGAAGTTTCTGCCAGAGTTCACAACCAGTGTTCACGAAGCAGAAAATTCACTAATATGAACACAGACCTTACAACTGCAAATGTGCATAAGAAGTAGATGAACAACCAGAAGTTTCTGCCAGTGTTCACAACCAGTGTTCACGAAGCAGAAAATTCACAAAAATGAACACAGACCTTACAACTGCAAATGTGCATAAGAAGTAGATGAACAACCAGAAGTTTCTGCCAGAGTTTACAGCCAGTGTTCGCGAAGAAGAAAATTCACAAAAATAATAATATTATTAGTGTACTTCTACAACATATAATTATACTGTTAGTTAACAATTAGTAAAGAGGCAAAGAGTGACTTGCTGTGAGAGGTTAGTTAGTAAATAAAATATTATTTTTATGCACTTACCCAGAGCTCCGAAATATCTTGACACAATTTATTCACAGTGTGGTTGCACCATTTATGCACAGTCAATATGAAAGCAATAGTTTTCTTCCAACACAAGATAGTTTGCACCTGACAACGTTCGATATTCTCCAGATATGGCTTCTAAATTACCTGTTTGTATTTTCCCCAAAAGTAAGATTTCTACATTCAAAGTAGAAAAAGAATAAACAGCCAGTTCCCAAAAATCTAAACTACTGACTAGAAACAGTGACACACACATCACAACACGACTGTCTGCCGTAAATTTAAACTCAAATTGCTGTTATCTAACAGCAAAGTTTGAAAATCTTGTATAACCACTTCACAATATCCGCTTGTTGATTTGTAATATGAACACATTCAGACCACAGAACTTTGTAAGCACGTTAAAATGTCACACACGTAAAACATTGGAAAACGGCTTGCAGTAACCACTTTTCGAGGGGACTTCGCCAAAATGTCACGTGATTTAGTCAGAAGGACCTATATACAGAAGGACCTGGTCGAACGAAGCCATTTTATAGCCCCACAACAAAGAACAGGACGTGCGACCTATCGCAATTTGAATGGGAGGGGAAGTAACTCTCGCCGTGCGGCCAACTTCGTCAGAAGTTCCCGAGAATGATCTTGGTTTCCAGCCTTAAATGGGTCCGAGGTAAAGTCCTGAGAAGTCAAGGCGGCCAGTGTGATGTTGACCACTTCACCCACCGAGTGTTGACTGGTCTAGGAAATATAGATCCATACCTATGCCAAATAAACCTGAAGGCAGGCAGGCAGGCACTCAGGTAGGTAGGTAGGTAGGTAGGTAGGTAGGTAGGTAGGTAGGTAGGTAGGTAGGTAGGTAGGTAGGTAGGTCGGTCGGTCGGTCGGTCGGTCGGTCGGTCGGTCGGTCGGTAGGTAGGTAGGTAGGTAGGTAGGTAGGTAGGTAGGTCGGTCCGTAGGTAGGTAGTTGTACTCCACCAGGACATCACACAAGCAATAAATACCCGGCGACACAAAATGCCACCATGCGGATGAGGTGCCAGAAACCCCTTTCAGCCGTTAGGCCATATCTATGGCCTAGGCCATATTTATGGTCCGGCTATATTCAGGGCCCCCGACAGAAGCCATGGTGGGGCTTCAAATTACAAAAATTGCCTCCTACAAAGGGACGACTATAAACCTGAAGTGGTAGAAAATTGTTCTTTACTTTCTACTCTGCAAATCAGATGGACATGCCATAATATTAGCATACAGTCTTCTGTTCAATAACGTTAACAACATGAGACATTACACTGGAAGCAAACCCGGTTAGTTCCAATACCCAAGCGGTCAACAGATTCTGTTTGTGACGTATATAGGTAAAATGACATCAGTACCCAGGCAGAGCTAGCCTTAAACGGGTACCAGGAAACGTCCTGGGAAGTAACCGCGGCCGACGTGATGCTGACCACATCACCCATCGAATGTCAACTGGCCTATGAAGTATAGGTCTAGCCCTATATGCCCTGAAGGCGTGGGAAAAGTCTTTTACTTACGTACGTGCGGCCAAAAAGAGTAACCAAGAGGTTTTGAAAGAGGCGGGAGCCCGAAGACAACTTATCACAGACATCAGAAGGAGACAGTCATTATTTTTCGGCCATGTTATGAGAAGAGGGAAAATAGAACATGTTGTGACCACTGGAAAGATCTGTGAAAGGAGGGATAGAGGAAGGCAACGAGAGAAGATGCTTGACAGCCTTGTTGCATGGCATGGAGGTGTGTCGGCACACGAACTGATACATGCTGCAGGAGATCGTGGATTATGGAGAAGCATGATCACCAACGCCAGTCGGCAAGGCACCTGAAGATGATGATGATGACGTGTGGTATATCTTCCTGCGGTCATGAATAATGCAGATGAGGATAATTCTGACGCTATGTTTTACTAATTGTGTGTGTTTTTGTGCGTGCGTGTGTGTGTATGTGTGTTTATGAGTGTGTGTGTGTGTGTGCGTGTGTGTGTGTGTGTGTGTGTGTGTGTGTGTGTGTGTGTGTGTGTGTGTGTGTGAAGGCTAACAGAGAGATTTCCCGCTTTAAACACACAATTGAGACACGGATAATGACGTTGATTGCCACATAAGGAGGTTACAATCTGACTTTTGGCACGTGCGTCACTATTCAAGGACAAAATAGTAATCATTAGTAAACAATAGAAGCAACAATAGCTCATTGTTACGCAACCAAATCTTGACATCTACTCTGAATGACGCACTATGTAACCGTCAACCATCTTCAGTGCTTTACTGTACAACATTGCGAGTAACGTATTTCTAATGATACTATTAGTTAGTGGGTGCAACACTTAGTATCAAGTCCACTAAGAAGCACCGGAATTTCCCCATGTTTGTTTCTGGGTCTCATTGCGGGGAAAACCAGAATAGACAAAGTCAGAGTGCATCTGCACAAGCAGCAAGGAACAACTAACTGCTCACAAATAAGCCAGTAAAACGGATGTACACTCAAAACTCCTCCCTGACACAAATCCAGAGTACAAATGAACGAACATCCAGGACTTTCCTCCTAAGCTAACAGCGGGTGTGTAAAGAAGAAACAGACGATGTTTTTAAGAATAAAGCAGCATCATTTACCATATGCTCACTCATCATCATCATGTAGCAGGTCCTTTACAGTCGTCGCTCCTACCAGGGTTTAGTTTTTATTCTTCAACTTTTCTTCTCCCCCCCCCTCCTACCCACCCTTCTTCCCTCCCTCCCACTCCAATATAGAATAAAGACCCTCAAGCAACTGACACTAAGGCGCTCTATCCTTTGCCATCACATGAAGCCATTTCCAAGTCCGACTTTTTAACTACACTCTCTAACTTCTGTCGATAATCTTCTTCTTCTTCTTCTCCTTTTTCTTCTTCTTTGTATTCACCAGCTTTATACTCTAGTGGAAAGTTTTGGTTGCTCGTCCACTTCTGGACTGCAATCCTGTTCCAGAACCCTAGCATTGCGTGTGCATTCGCTTGACATATCTGACACATCTGTGTGCGGATTGTTGGTTCCTTGCCTCTTAGGCAGATACAATCCAGCTTTGAAAGGAACTCCCAATTAGTCGACTCTTACGACATGCTTTTGTGTAGACAGTAGGTCTATTCTTGTTTTCCCTATAATAGGGCCCCGGAACTCACACGGGGGCTTTCGATAATGTTTTGTGTATTTGTGTCCTCCTCCTTTATTTCTATGCCCCTGTGGGTTCCAGTCCAAAGATATTCTAGTTATATTGTTTTGTTTTCCAAACGATAGTCCTATCCAACGCCAGCGTACATATATTTTGAGATGTGCGTATTTCTTTTCTTGGTTCACAGTATTCTAAGAATCGTTCTACATCATTTCAGCTCAGCTTTACAGTCAATATATCTTGAATATCTGATATAGAGGCAGAAAGAAGCCCCTGAAGAAGATGGATTGATGACATTTTAAAAATGTTGACATTCATACGCAATGACAAGATCAATAGCAGCCATCCAGCAGAGTTATGTCGGCAAAGGATTTAAACGCACAGTAAGAGAAAGTTACCTAATGACTTGAATCTGGATGACCCCGTCCACAGAGAGTGCTGAGAAATGAATGATAATCTTGGTAATCTTAATTTCAGCTACATTTTTAAAAAAAGTCATTACATAGTTGCTCCGCTCCTGTGCCAACGAAAATACACATAATTAATGTCCATCACTGTCTGTGTGGAAAGATTGACATATTGCTGTCTCTCCAAATCCACTAGCATACACATGCATTAAAACCATAAGGCAGCCATCAGAAGTGCTAACACAAACAGTCCGACATTAGAAACGCAGTTTATCATCGACGGAAGCAGCAGTTACCATCAGATCAACAGTTGCACACACGATTAATTTTAACCATGTAAAGTACCAACAACAGGTCCCGCAACATTTTCTGAAAATACACTTTTCACAACACCCCGCTGGTCACAGTCGAAAAACATTGCAACTGAAAGCCGCAGCTCACAGGGTCGCGCCACGCACTCAGCTTAGTAGATGGGCGACAAAACTATCAGTCTACAAATAGAGGAAAATGCAGCAGCCAGCGAAGCATAAGCGGAAAGAGGACATTTCTGATTATTTGAAGCCTTCCTTTGTGCCAGATAACCCGCAAAATTCATATTGCAGCTGTACATGATTTAAAGATCCTGACAACGTTAACCTCATCGCTATACTCTATTTAATATTCCTCTTGGTAGTGTGGTCAAGTCTGGATAATAAACTGCGTATTGTGGGAAAAGAACACTGCTGATGAACACAGAATCACAATATACACCAGTCGGCGTGGACATCAATGAGAAACAACTACTTCTTTCTTTAAAAGAATAGTTTTGCAAGTGGGCATGAAATCTGAGATCTAGATGTAGCACCATTGGAAAAGACACCTGGTCTTAGAAGCAAATGTGCAGATCAAGTTACGTGGAACCATGATGAAGGACCTGCTGCTGACATGCGAGTTCATAGAAGCAACCCACCCTATAGCCTGATCTGAGCATACGAAATCAAACGCAAAGAAGAAGAAGAAGAAGAAGAAGAAGAAGAAGAAGAAGAAGAAGAAGAAGAAGAAGAAGAAGAAGAAGAAGAAGAGAAGAAGAAGAAGAAGAAGAAGAAGAAGAAGAAGAAGAAGAAGAAGAAGAAGAAGAAGGAGAAGAAGAAGAAGAAGAAGAAGAAGAAGAAGAAGAAGAAGAAGAAGAAGAAGTTCTAAAGGGGAATAAAAAGAAGAGGATGTAAGAAAATAATGTCATACTTTATCAATATAAACAATATTTATCACATACCTGTCACATGGTACCTCACAGACACTTCCACCCCAGCCCAGATGGCACTCGCAGAATGTGACTGATTTCACAACACGGCAGTCTCCATGGTTACTGCAATTGTCCACACATATATTATTGCTAGAGCTACTAATGGCTACTTGTAAAGATGTCCGAGCACAAACCAGCACATACATCGGCACAAACAAGTCTTTGGCCGTAAAGAATGTCATCTTCCGAGGGCCTTTGCTCAGTGTGGGGTTTCCAGGTGTGGTAAATCGGTGCATAAAACTCGGGTTATTGTAGCAACAGGGATTGTCCAACGTTCAACTGTGGAAGAGAGAAGTGTAAATATTGAGTTTAGTGCAGTTTATGTGGATTAGCTACAGTGATAAAGCTCGATAGATACTAGGGAGACACAACTCGCTCTCCAGCTGTTTCTATCTTTATGTAACTATTTTGAGACAGACATTTATACAGATATACAAACAGACATACAGCAACACAGACTGACCGACGGACGAAAGGATTGACGCATGGACAGACAGACAGACAGACAGACAGACAGACAGACAGACAGACAGACAGACAGACAGACAGACAGACAGACAGACAGACAGACAGACAGACAGACAGACAGACAGACAGACAGACAGACAGACAGACAGACAGACAGACAGACAGACAGACAGACAGACAGACAGACAGACAGACAGACAGACAGACAGACAGACAGACAGACAGGCGGTCCACTGCTGGTTGTGGGAATACACTTGTATTACTTGGCGAAACTCCCGATGTTTTCCATGGCAACTGCAATCTCTTCTTTTTTCATTGTTCGTCGGCTGTAAACTAGCCGAAAACAACTGGCTGTTCATCCACTCCTGGACTTTGGTCTTGATCCAGAACTTCAGTTTTGCTTGCACATCCATTTTACAGATCTGACCTATTTGTATGCAGACTGTTGGTTCCTTGTCTCCCAGGCAGATGCACTCCGACCTTGGAGGAAACATCTCGATATTAGTCGCTTCCTACATAATGCTTGTTAGAGGGACGGTGGGTCTATTCTGTGTTCTTCGACATGGATCAGCGGAACCCACATTGGAATCAACTGCAATAACCAAACACGAAAGGTAAACTTCTGCACGATTAACATCTCAAGGACGAGAAGCAAACAGGGACAAATCCCGGAAACCCGGTTCAACAGTTAAGCCATTTAGAGCACAGTTATAGTGGGGCATCACGAAACGGTTACTATGAAACCTGTAGTTCAGTGTGGGTCGGTTTGTCAGCAGGGCAACTTTTCTCAAACAGAAAGGTGCTGGTACTCAAAGTACGCTGTCTTTAAACGGTGCCGGTACTCACCACAAAGTGTCTTTAACGGGTGTCGGTACTCACCACAAAGTGTCTTTAAACGGTGCCGGTACTCACCACAAAGTGTCTTTAAACGGTGCCGGTACTCACCACAAAGTGTCTTTAAACGGTGCCGGTACTCACCACAAAGTGTCTTTAAACGGTGCCTGTACTCACCATAAAGTGTGTTTAAGTGGTGCCGGTACTCGCCTTAAAGTGTCGTTAAACGGAGACGGTACTCACCGTAAAGTGTCTTTAACGGGTGTCGGTAATCACCACAAAGTGTCTTTAAATGGTGCTGGTACTGACCACAAAGTGTCTGTCACAGTTTCGGTAGGGGAAAAAAAAAAAACCTCAAAAAGGTGCAGGCACTGCGAACCTTTGTGTGGAACCAGAAAAAAAAATTCCTGGTCATTAGTTGGTTTTTCAGCTGCATGCAACTTCTTTATACAGCAGTTAGTGAATAACTTGTTGGATGCGGAAGTTCGACCTACTTTAGGTTTCATTAATTTCTTGAATTAGACAAATCGCTGAGCACCAAAATAAATTGTTGCCTTTGTAGTTCGCACACAGATGACGCAAGTATTATGTTTTTTAGCTCATAAAGAAAGTGGTTTTTTTCTCCCAGTTTACATACTGAATATTGTTCATGGTTACTGTTGAATTAGTGTCTTTACATCTCAACATATGACGTAACTGACGTCATTTTAAACAACGATAAATGAGAACTTTGCTAAGAGTATAAGCAACAACATGTGGGTAAATAAATTAACTAATTAATAATTTGTCCTATTCTACCGTTATGAGCTCGCAGTGTATTTATTACTTTCTTTCCTGTGCAATCACTTTGATATCATGAATCAAATCCAGTACAGTAGAACATCGCTTAACGAGCACCTCGTATAACGAGTAATTCGCATAACGAGCAAAACAAATTGTAAAAAAAATGACTTGCTTAACGAGCGACGTTTCGCATAACGAGTGGCGAGGAGAGGTGAAGTCCCGAACTGTGCCCATGTTACATCCAGTCTGTGTTTAGCACTCGTTCCAGTAGCATCGTAGTGTCGCTTGTGATCACACATTTTCTCAAACTTGTGTTATATTGTGATATATGTACATGAATCTTCCAGGCCTACAAGATGACCTCTCTGAAGAATTAAGTTTATCAAGATCCAGTTTCTGCCTCCCAACACCACTCCGTTACTCAGGCTCATGGACAAGCAAGTTATTTGTAACTTTAAGAAACTCTACACGAAAGCACTCTTCGAGCATTGTTTTCATGTGACTGAAGGGACCAACCTCACTCTCAAAGAGTTTTAGAGAAAAATCACGTCCACATCGTTGCATGCCTCAAGATGATCGACAAGGCGGGAGAAGGGGTTACCAAGAGAATCTTAACTTCTGCTTTTAAAGAAGCTTTGGCCGGAGAGTGTTGTCTATTTTGTGACTTTGAGGGGTTCGAAACAGTGAAACCTGTAGTCAACGAGATTGGGTCTTTGGCCACTATCATGGGATTGTAGGTGGATAACAGTGATATCATAGAGCTTGTGGAAAAGCACAGCCAAGAGCTGCGTTTTGGAGTAAAGGTTGTCAGAGGAGGAGGTAACAGAAAAGCAACAATTTTCTGGCGAAATAAGAGAAATGCTGAAAGCATGACAAACTGTTGCATCTTACATTGAGAAGCATCGCCCTAATAAGGAAGTGGCTATTCGCGTTGCAAATTTATTTAATGATAATGCTGTGTCGCATTTTCGCCAAATTTTGAAGCGTCGGCAAAAACAAATCTCTGGACATCTTTCTAGTAAAAAATAAAAATAATTAGCTATGTATCATAATTATTTCGACTTTATTTTTCCCCTGCAAATCGAATATGCATTCCATGTGGTTTCTTTACGCGTTTGAAGAAAAGATGAAGGTGATCACTCTCCTTAACAATATGTATATAATTTTCTTGAAACAAACGTTATACATAGCATTTTGTGAGTATCTTTTACGACATGGAACGCATTATCGTATTTTACATTAATTTATATGAGAAAAATGGTTTCGCATAACGAGTGTTTCGCTTAACGAGTATGATTCTGGAACGAATTATGCTCGTTAAGCGAGGTTCCGCTGTATATCACATTTACCTTCGCTCATCACCGTTCGCTAAAGCATTTTTTTCTTTTTGGACATCTTTGTCTCCATAATCCATCTATTTCCCATTTCAAGGACTGGTAATTCTCTGTTAGTCTTATCTCAGAATGTGTCCACAAAGCGCCATCTTATCTAGCTTATAACTGTTAATACTCGTGTTGCCCAGACATTTCTCTTATTTGGTAATTCCTCTTAAGTTCATCCTAACTAAAATTAATGTCGCAGGTGTAACTGGGGCAACATTGAATATCACAGTAAATGGTCGGATACTGGAATGTATGACAAGTCTCTCTTATCAACTTGGTGGAATACTGATGCATGATAAGGCAGACGAGGTTAGTGCCTTGTGGGAGAGTGTGTACACTTCGGAGGAGCAGATGGATCACCATAGTCTGGAGAGATTGATACAGTGGGGTGTAACGAGGGGTTCTGGCAGATGCTCGACGCTCAAAGGAAAGGCGAGACGGACGTTTAATCAGAAGGCTACTGGCACCATTGGTATCGGAACTGCGCTGGCTGCTGAAGATGGGGACGGAGCGCTTGTGTGTATACCCCGAGTGTTGTGATGTCTGTTCTTGAATCAAATCAAATTAAATCAATCTTATCTTGGACATAATGGAGATAAAGGAAAACCTCGTCAACACGAATTCTAACCGACTTATCAGCAACATAACATAAACATAATATAAAGCAAGTTGAGCTTTCATAGCCCTAGGAATTTGTGGAGGTCAAAACAAATTAAAATTAATACTAAACTATAATTTTTAAATTCCAGTGTCAAATCAGTAAAGTTGTGTGAAGGTGAAACACGGAGAACGACTAAGGCAATTACTGATAAACTATAAACATTCGTATAATGGTGCATGAGCAGAATAGAGGGAATTAAATAGTATAATATAATCACTAATGTAGAGCTTTGGGAGAGAACTAAACAAGTTCCAGTGGATCAAGAGGTGAAGAAAAGACGCTGACTTTGGATAGGGTACACGTTAGGAAAACCTGAGAACAGTATAAGTAGAATGTCTTTGCAATGGAAACCACAAAGACATAGAAATAAAAGAAGACCAAAAACACACCCAGAGGGGAGCTAGAGAGGAAATTTAGAAAGATAGCGAGGACATGGGAAGAGCTGCATGCGTTAACGAAGGATAGAACGACTTGGCGTGAGTTGGTTGAGAGCCTATGCTCCGTTAGGGGTTAGAAAGGCAGAAGAAGAAGAAACATAACTTAAGCATTAATCCGTTAGGGTCGTGGAGGTGTATCGATAGAAGCACTAACACAAAGACCCCGATTACTGAACAAGTGCTGATAACTTAATCCTGTACATTTCTTGGTGTTGTCATTCCAGTTTCTTCTTTGTCCTCCTCTTCTTTAACTACCCTCTAGTATTCCTTGAAATAAAGTCTTTGCAATCAAATCATGTCTCACCACTTGGCCGAACCAAGAGGCTAGTAATAATAATAACCATAAGAATAAACTCACAGGGAGCAAGTACAGCGGGGATCTACAGTCATCAGTAGAAATTATCCTCTTTCGACACACGTTTCGGCCCACGATTCCTAAACGTATTCGGAGGTGGGCCCACCTGAGTTCATGAAGCTCAGGGCTGCTTCCCCGCTGCACAGAATTACCGGATGGTGTTATTATTTCGGCCAGAGACAAGACGACTTAGTGGTTTCGAAGGAGGTACTGTGAGATAAGAAGCCGCCGCGACAGCGTAATTAGAACAGTCCGCATGCCT